CAGCGTCCAGAGCGGCAGCCAGGAGAGGGGGAAGAAGAGGGCAACAATGATGAGCATGTTGATCACCTTGGCTTTCCTCTGGGACACCCTCCTCCCCTCTGGCACCTCTCGTCCACGGGCAGGTGCCGTTGACTTGAAGAGCTTGAAGGCGATGCAGGCGTACATGACAACAATGAGGGCGAGGGGGGCCACGTAGATGTGGGAGAAGAGGACGGTGGTGTAGATCCTCCTCATCCCTGTCTCAGGCCAGGCCTCCCAACAGGAGTAGAGGGGGTAGGAGTTGTTGTAGGTGTCCACCATAAAGTGGTGCTCCTCCCTGGTGACCGTCAGGGTGATGGCGGCAGGGCACATGATGAGCAGGGCCAGCACCCAGATGATGACGATGGTCACCAGGGCTTTCCTCAGCGTCAGCTTCTGCCGAAAGGGGTGGACGATGCAGCGAAACCTGTGGGAGGGCAGACGGTGGAGGCTTTGGGTACCTGGTGGGATGTCCCTGGGGAAAGAGGGTGGCCAAGACCCAGGGGTGGGAAGGGAGGGTTGCTCTTTACATAGGGCTTTTGGTGGCAAAGATAGGTTGGGATCTCTGCAGCTTTGGTGTTTTCATCCCAAGGTGGGGAAGGACACCTTACTGGGATGCCCCATGGATAGCTTTGTGGCCCTCCTGGAGGGCTGGGACACACTCCTGACATCCCCAGGAGCTTTCCTGTGATGGAAACCACACGGGACACGCGAGCACACTGGAGGTGGTTTGGTCCCCATGTCACCACATCCCTGCACTGACGTACCTCTCCACAGCGATGGCCACCAGCGTGAAAACCGAGGCGGAGACGGACATGCCCTGCACCAGGCCACTCATTTTGCACATGGCATTGTCAAAGGGCCAACCTGCAAGGGGACACCGCGACTGTTGTAGGTGCCTTTGGCTTGTCCAGGTCCATCAGCAGCTCCCTCTAGATGTCCCCATCCACCATGCCATTGTCAGTGGATGCTAAATCCTGCTCCTAAGGGGGGGGCTGCATTTTTGGCAGAGATGGCCTTCAGCAGTACAGGTGCTTGGAGAAAACCTCCCAAATTGGTAAAAAAGATGTGTTCTGCACTTCTTAGAAACTCAAGGAGCATGGGGGTTGCCATTTCTCCTACCCTTACATAGGGCTCTAGCTGTTATCACCGGGGCTGACCTTGGGATCCTCTATCAGGAGGGCTTTCATCTTGTTTCTTAACCCCTGCTAAGGCGTTGGCAATAAATAAATCTCACCCCATAATAAATAAATACAGACTCTGCCCCATGCTTCGGCCAAACTCCACCAACCATGCCAGTGTCAGGCTTTATCTTTGGAAAGGTCAACGGGCAGAGCTGAGCCAGCACGGGGAGAAGATCGATGCAAGAGGAGGGTTTTTTTCAGTGCTGCTTGATGGAGAACAGCTGAACTTTAAATAAATACATAAATGCAGCGTTAAGGTCATACTTATTTTGCTGAAAAATGTCCAAAACCTGGAAAAAAAAAAAAAAAAAAGACTTCTTCCCCTAAAATAGAAAGTCTAAATGAAATGGTACCTTTCATGTCGTTGAGTGGCCACCACCTGCCCTCCTCATCCTCAGCCAAAAAAAAAGCACCCATGGGTAGGAGATTTGGGGGTGGCCTCGTGTGGGTAGGGCAGAAAGTGGGTGATGTTCCTCCTCAATTTCTTTTCCCCCCGCCCCACTGCCCCACTCACCCGTGATGAGGTTGTCCACCAAGGTGGTGGGCATGCAGAAGATGCCCACCAGCAGGTCGCTGATGGCCAGGTTGAGGATGAACATGTTGGTGACCGTCCGCATCTGGCGGTTCTTCACCACGATGAAGCACACCAGGATGTTGCCGATCATGCACATGAGGAAGATGAAGGTGTAGGCCAGGATGAACATGGCGGCCACTGGGGAGGAGTGCTGGTAGTACGCCAAGAAGGTGTAGTTCTCCCTCAGGAGGTGGCTCTCGCCTGTGGTGGAGTTGGGCCAGCTGCAGTTGGAAGGGCCTGAGGAAGGGGAGGCAGGAAAATAAAGCTGGAAGAGGATAAAGCGATTATTCCTTTCATTTCTTAATGCCCTCGGAGGTGGGTTTTCGTATGTATACCAGTGCCCAACGTGTCCTGCTGGGATCATCTCAATGCTCCAACAAGTCTCCTCCTTGTCAGGTTACGTGGCCCGAGGTACCGCAGCACCTCGGCTGAATTATTATTTTATATCATTATTTTGATGAGGAATTAAAGCAGCCCAGAAGATTTCCTGTTCTTGTGGGATTCTTTTAGGGATGATGCAAGGAAAAGAAATCCATGTCCCCACACCACAATGCTGCGGCCGTGTGGGAGCCGTGTGTCCGTGCGGTCCCCGGCACGGCTGGCCTGGGAGCATCCCTGCTCCCGGGTGTCTGCTGCTGCTTCTCCTTGCACTTCCAATATTTGCAGTTTGAGATCCCCTAAAATCTTCTTCTCCCCAGCAAAGCCGCCGAGCCTGAGGGATAGGGACTGGGGAAGAGGAGACCCTGCCTCCCCTTACGTATAAAGTGATAATTATACATAATTATGAACATTACCTGGGACGATGAGAGCTTCTGATGGAGGGGGGGGTGGCATTTTGTCGCTACAGATTTAACAGGGGGAGCAGGTCTGTGCAGCACCCACCCCCGGGTTTCCCCAGCTTTACGCAGGCAGGGATGCAGGATGACGCCGGGTGCAGGCAGGAGCCGCCTGCAGCGGTGACGGGACTTACACTGGGCAAAGCCAGGCTGCAATTTTAAGGCAGAAAAAGGCATATTTTTGCTTTAAGGCTCAACCTAACTGCCTGCAGGTCAGCCCAGCTCTGCCAAAGCACTGCAAAGCCGCTGCATGGTGGGCGGCTGTATCATCCCCCGGTGCCGGTGCTCAGCATGCCAGCCAAGATGCTTTTCCCAGCCGCTGGGACCACCGGCTTCCCCAAGGCTCCCGGGGAATTTTATACCCATGCCCCGGGCACAGAATTTGGCCAGCACGTTTCCAGCGGGGCTTCAGAAAGGCTCTTGGGGGGGGGGGAGGTTTGC